CCTTGAGGTCTCTGATGGTCCTGGTCCTAGAGGTATCTGATGGTGCTGGTCCTAGAGGTCTCTGATGGTGCTGGTGCTAGAGGTCTCTGATGGTGCTGGTCCTAGAGGTCTCTGATGGTGCTGGTCCTAGAGGTCTCTGATGGTGCTGGTCCTAGAGGTCTCTGATGGTCCTAGTCCTAGAGGTCTCTGATGGTGCTGGTCCTAGAGGTCTCTGATGGTGCTGGTCCTAGAGGTCTCTGATGGTGCTGGTCCTTGAGGTCTCTGATGGTCATAGTCCTAGAGGTCTCTGATGGTCCTGGTCCTAGAGGTCTCTGATGGTCCTAGTCCTAGAGGTCTCTGATGGTGCTGGTCCTAGAGGTCTCTGATGGTGCTGGTCCTTGAGGTCTCTGATGGTCCTGGTCCTTGAGGTCTCTGATGGTGCTGGTCCTAGAGGTTTCTGATGGTGCTGGTCCTAGAGATCTCTGATGGTGCTGGTCCTAGAGGTCTCTGATGGTCCTGGTCCTAGAGGTCTCTGATGGTGCTGGTCCTAGAGGTCTCTGATGGTGCTGGTCCTAGAGGTCTCTGATGGTCCTAGTCCTAGAGGTCTCTGATGGTCCTGGTCCTAGAGGTCTCTGATGGTGCTGGTCCTAGAGGTCTCTGATGGTGCTGGTCCTAGAGGTCTCTGATGGTGCTGGTCCTAAAGGTCTCTGATGGTGCTGGTCCTAGAGGTCTCTGATGGTGCTGGTCCTTGAGGTCTCTGATGGTCCTAGTCCTAGAGGTCTCTGATGGTCCTGGTCCTAGAGGTCTCTGATGGTGCTGGTCCTAGAGGTGTTTGATGGTGCTGGTCCTAGAGGTCTCTGATGGTCCTGGTCCTAGAGGTCTCTGATGGTGCTTGTCCTAGAGGTCTCTGATGGTGTTGGTCCTTGAGGTCTCTGATGGTGCTGGTCCTAGAGGTCTCTGATGGTCCTGGTCCTAGAGGTCTCTGATGGTGCTGGTCCTGGAGGTCTCTGATGGTGCTGGTCCTAGAGGTCTCTGATGGTGCTGGTCCTAGAGGTCTCTGATGGTGCTGGTCCTTGAGGTCTCTGATGGTCCTAGTCCTAGAGGTCTCTGATGGTCCTGGTCCTTGAGGTCTCTGATGGTCCTAGTCCTAGAGGTCTCTGATGGTGCTGGTCCTTGAGGTCTCTGATGGTCCTAGTCCTAGAGGTTTCTGATGGTGCTGGTCCTAGAGGTCTCTGATGGTGTTGGTCCTTGAGGTCTCTGATGGTGCTGGTCCTAGAGGTCTCTGATGGTGTTGGTCCTTGAGGTCTCTGATGGTGCTGGTCCTAGAGGTCTCTGATGGTGTTGGTCCTTGAGGTCTCTGATGGTGCTGGTCCTAGAGGTCTCTGATGGTCCTGGTCCTAGAGGTCTCTGATGGTGCTGGTCCTAGAGGTCTCTGATGGTGCTGGTCCTTGAGGTCTCTGATGGTGCTGGTCCTAGAGGTCTCTGATGGTCCTGGTCCTAGAGGTCGCTGATGGTCCTGGTCCTAAAGGTCTCTGATGGTGCTGGTCCTAGAGGTCTCTGATGGTGCTGGTCCTAGAGGTCTCTGATGGTCCTGGTCCTAGAGGTCTCTGATGGTGCTGGTCCTAGAGGTCTCTGATGGTGCTGGTCCTTGAGGTCTCTGATGGTCCTAGTCCTAGAGGTCTCTGATGGTCCTGGTCCTAGAGGTCTCTGATGGTGCTGGTCCTAGAGGTCTCTGATGGTGCTGGTCCTAGAGGTCACTGATGGTGCTGGTCCTAAAGGTCTCTGATGGTGCTGGTCCTAGAGGTCTCTGATGGTGTGCTGGTCCTTGAGGTCTCTGATGGTCCTAGTCCTAGAGGTCTCTGATGGTACTGGTCCTAGAGGTCTCTGATGGTGCTGGTCCTAGAGGTCTCTGATGGTCCTGGTCCTAGAGGTCTCTGATGGTGCTGGTCCTAGAGGTCTCTGATGGTGCTGGTCCTAGAGGTCTCTGATGGTCCTGGTCCTAGAGGTCTCTGATGGTCCTGGTCCTAGAGGTCTCTGATGGTGTTGGTCCTAGAGGTCTCTGATGGTGCTGGTCCTAGAGGTCTCTGATGGTCCTGGTCCTAGAGGTCTCTGATGGTCCTGGTCCTAGAGGTCTCTGATGGTCCTGGTCCTAGAGGTCTCTGATGGTGTTGGTCCTAGAGGTCTCTGATGGTGCTGGTCCTAGAGGTCTCTGATGGTCCTGGTCCTAGAGGTCTCTGATGGTCCTGGTCCTAGAGGTCTCTGATGGTGCTGGTCCTAGAGGTCTCTGATGGTGCTGGTCCTAGAGGTCTCTGATGGTCCTGGTCCTAGAGGTCTCTGATGGTCCTGGTCCTAGAGGTCTCTGATGGTGCTGGTCCTAGAGGTCTCTGATGGTGCTGGTCCTAGAGGTCTCTGATGGTGCTGGTCCTAAAGGTCTCTGATGGTGCTGGTCCTAGAGGTCTCTGATGGTGCTGGTCCTTGAGGTCTCTGATGGTCCTAGTCCTAGAGGTCTCTGATGGTACTGGTCCTAGAGGTCTCTGATGGTGCTGGTCCTAGAGGTCTCTGATGGTCCTGGTCCTAGAGGTCTCTGATGGTGCTGGTCCTAGAGGTCTCTGATGGTGCTGGTCCTAGAGGTCTCTGATGGTCCTGGTCCTAGAGGTCTCTGATGGTCCTGGTCCTAGAGGTCTCTGATGGTGTTGGTCCTAGAGGTCTCTGATGGTGCTGGTCCTAGAGGTCTCTGATGGTGCTGGTCCTAGAGGTCTCTGATGGTCCTGGTCCTAGAGGTCTCTGATGGTCCTGGTCCTAGAGGTCTCTGATGGTCCTGGTCCTAGAGGTCTCTGGTCCTAGAAGAGGAAGCATGTCCCAAGACCCATTTCTCCTGTAAGAAAACCTTTATTCCTCCCACAGTGGGTAAATTCCGGTGTTGCAGCGCACAGACAGGACAGAGCACACATCAACAATAAAAGTAACTGATATGTGTCTTAGCAGTAAATGCTTCATAAGAGCAAGATAATATACATCTCTCTAAATGTTCTCAGCAGTTCTCATTGTACAGTCTGACAGCAGCAGGATGGAAACACCTGTGGAACCTCTCCTTCACACAGAGAAGTGGACCAGTCTTTGGTCTGGTCCATGAGAGACCATGAAGGATCTTACAAGGCCACGGGGTCTGTAGTTCTTGGTTATTGTGGTCCCTGTGGGTTATTGGTCCCTGTGGGTTATTGGTCCCTGTGGGTTATTGGTCCCTGTGGGTTATTGGTCCCTGTGGGTTACTTGTCCTTGTGGGTTACTGGTCCCTGTGGGTGATCAGTCCCTGTGGGTTATTGGTCCCTGTGGGTTACTGGTCCCTGTGGGTTATCAGTCCCTGTGGGTTATTGGTCCCTGTGGGTTATCGGTCCCTGTGGGTTATTGGTCCCTGTAGGTTATCGGTCCCTGTGGGTTACTGGTCCCTGTGGGTTATCAGTCCCTGTGGGTTATCGGTCCCTGTGGGTTATTGGTCCCTGTGGGTTATTGGTCCCTGTGGGTTACTGGTCCCTGTGGGTGATCAGTCCCTGTGGGTTATTGGTCCCTGTGGGTTACTGGTCCCTGTGGGTTATCAGTCCCTGTGGGTTATTGGTCCCTGTGGGTTATCGGTCCCTGTGGGTTATTGGTCCCTGTAGGTTATCAGTCCCTGTGGGTTATTGGTCCCTGTGGGTTATCGGTCCCTGTGGGTTATTGGTCCCTGTAGGTTATCGGTCCCTGTGGGTTACTGGTCCCTGTGGGTTATCAGTCCCTGTGGGTTATCGGTCCCTGTGGGTTATTGGTCCCTGTGGGTTATTGGTCCCTGTGGGTTATCGGTCCCTGTGGGTTATTGGTCCCTGTGGGTTATTGGTCTCTGTGGGTTACTGGTCCCTGTGGGTTATTGGTCCCTGTGGGTTATTGGTCCCTGTGGGTTATCGGTCCCTGTGGGTTATTGGTCCCTGTGGGTTACTGGTCTCTGTGGGTTACTGGTCCCTGTGGGTTATCAGTCCCTGTGGGTTATTGGTCCCTGTGGGTTATTGGTCCCTGTGGGTTATTGGTCCCTGTGGGTTACTGGTCCCTGTGGGTTATCAGTCCCTGTGGGTTATCGGTCCCTGTGGGTTATCAGTCCCTGTGGGTTATCGGTCCCTGTGGGTTATTGGTCCCTGTGGGTTATTGGTCCCTGTGGGTTACTGGTCCCTGTGGGTGATCAGTCCCTGTGGGTTATTGGTCCCTGTGGGTTACTGGTCCCTGTGGGTTATCAGTCCCTGTGGGTTATTGGTCCCTGTGGGTTATCGGTCCCTGTGGGTTATTGGTCCCTGTAGGTTATCAGTCCCTGTGGGTTATTGGTCCCTGTGGGTTATCGGTCCCTGTGGGTTATTGGTCCCTGTAGGTTATCGGTCCCTGTGGGTTACTGGTCCCTGTGGGTTATCAGTCCCTGTGGGTTATCGGTCCCTGTGGGTTATTGGTCCCTGTGGGTTATTGGTCCCTGTGGGTTATCGGTCCCTGTGGGTTATTGGTCCCTGTGGGTTATTGGTCTCTGTGGGTTACTGGTCCCTGTGGGTTATTGGTCCCTGTGGGTTATTGGTCCCTGTGGGTTATCGGTCCCTGTGGGTTATTGGTCCCTGTGGGTTACTGGTCTCTGTGGGTTACTGGTCCCTGTGGGTTATCAGTCCCTGTGGGTTATTGGTCCCTGTGGGTTATTGGTCCCTGTGGGTTATTGGTCCCTGTGGGTTATTGGTCCCTGTGGGTTATTGGTCCCTGTGGGTTATCGGTCCCTGTGGGTTATCGGTCCCTGTGGGTTATTGGTCCCTGTGGGTTCTCGGTCCCTGTGGGTTATTGGTCCCTGTGAGCTTGTATTTGTTTTCAGTCTTCCTCAGACAGACTCCATCCACACATGGCGGCAGAGTGTTCCTGGAAACAGCCAATAGCAGCGCGTGTTTTAAGGCGAGCCTCCGCAGAGAGCATCCAATCAGAGGCCCAGGATTGGACCCGTGCCTCCGAGTTGTGCTCAGACTGTTGTGCAGCGATGCAGTCACGTGACCAGGGGAAAGGAATGCCAACATGGACCCGTGGCAAGGACGGGATCTGAGCGCGCTGCGGCCGTGACGGAGCTCAGGCCCGGCTCTGCGTCTACACCAACCCAAAGAGGAGGACGTCCGAACCCGCGGGAGGCCCAGGTTCCTGCGGACCGTGAGCACCAGTAAGCACGCACTGGCCTAGAGCAGCTCGGTCCGGCCCGAACTTGAGCGTGGAGCAGAGGGGGCCATTTTAGCGTCCGCTGCGAGGATCCAGAACCGACCTGTCTTTACGCACGGCGTCTACATGCGTGCGTGTGTACGTGTACTAATGTGCGTGTGCGGGGGCGCGTCACTGGGCCCGTGTTTACTCCTGGCTCTAAAGGCTGAACATGTGCCTCGGACCTCCCTGTGACAGTCTTTTGGGCTTAGATCAAAGGCTGTAGATGGGCCCTCAGCAGGGGGTCTGTGGGGGTGTGTGTGGGGGGGCAGACCTAGATCCACGGGCAGTCTGTGGTCAGCGCTGGTCGGCCATGCGGCTCCAGCATGAGCACTTCTCCAACACACTGCCCCACTTCATAAACACGTTACGTAACAGCGTTGGAAGCCTCCTTGTGTTTTTAGCACGTTATTACAGCGTCCACGTCTCCAAACCCACGCGCTCCCATCTTTTAACCTCTGCACGGAAATCTACAAGTGTTACTGCTTTATGTTGGTCTAGTTTCAGGAGTAATAGTTTATGGACTGCAGCGTCGCGGATGAATGAGTCCAGGATGTAAACACGCACTGGTCCACTCCGCACCACGTGGCTCAGGGCTTTGTGAAAACCATGGACTGTAAAGTACCATGGGCGCACCATCGGTCATGGTTTACCAAAGATTGTAATAATTGACAAAGTGCAACGATCAAAGGAAGATGTGTTTGGTGTATTATTGTTTTACTACAGTATTTAAATAATAAATGATAGAGCATGGGTCTCCATCCTTCCACGTAGCTCCGGAAGGATTTAGAAAGGACAAATATGCAGAATAATTTGACATTATACAACTACGGAAAATGCCCTTGTTTGTGCTCTGATATATTATTGTTATATGATTGTTGTTTGTGGATGTAAGAGACTGCTTTAATTACAGTCATCATAAAAATCTATGCAATAATTAAGACAAGAGAGAACACACATTTACACACATGTAAATATACTATAATACTGTAGAAACCTATGTTTATATTTATAACAGACGTGTAATGACTCAAATGTATTCAGTTATAGAGACTTAGTGATGACTGTAAATGGCTGAGAACATGGATCCTCTTTATTATAGGAGATTATTTAACTGTTTTTCCACCTTTATGCACAGCTTTTATTTATATTCCAGTAAAATTCAGGGTTTGCCTTCTGCTAAAGGCTGCAGCCGTAGAAACATGTTCAAGTGACGACAATATCATTCTCATTTTTCAAATTGAGAAATAAAGGTATTTGGTCAGATTCATGGTCCGAAACAAGTGGATCAGGCTAAAAGATCCACTGGAGGAATGCTAACTATAAAACAAATGCTAACAAAGTATTTAGCATTTTACTTTGGACCAGAGCAGAGAAAATGGTCTAAACCAAGCTCCACCTCTGCTGCTGTGACCTGAAGGACTGTTCCATTTTATTACTATTGTTAGCTTTTTAGAATGATCCATTTATTTGTTTTGTTTGGATGGATGTGTTTTTGCTGCTGCTGGACACCTGCATTTTTCCAAAAGGGATCAATAAAGTATCTAACTAACTAACTAACTAAAACACATTTTCCCCACATGTCACTGTGTAATTATCCTGTAAATGTACATAAACATGAGAGTAACTGATGCTTCATTTGCAGATTCTTGGACAGAGGGACACGAGCTGAGATCGTTCTGGATCAATGGTGTCGCTCAGCAGCAGGACGCTGACTTTGGAGAACGACCTGTTCAGGGACAGTAGCCTGTTCTCTGTGGAGCTGGGAGATGGAGCAGGCAGCGAGGGGGGCAGCGAGGGGGGCAGCTCCTGTGACAGCCCAGAGGTGGCGGAGCAGGGGGCCATGCACGGCTCCAGCTCTGCCCCTGATGAAGACGAGGAGGACGAGGAAGAGGCCACACAGCTGCCTCTGATTATAGGGGCTGCAGGTGAGAAACAACCGCCTCCTTTACTTTAACATGCTTCACACTTCTGTCTTTTGCACAGTCTGAGTGATTCTATCTGTACCAAATGTGACATCAATAAAGTCCATCTGATCTTATCTTAAATATAACGATAGGTCCTGTATTAAAAACTGAGGCCTGGTTTATACGGAGGCGCTGCGCAGACGTTACCAAGCTATGAACAGAAACCACCAGGCTCCTTATGGTTGTTTCTGTTCATAGCCTCGTCTTTCACAGCGTTCATACAGGATGAAAAACGATGTAGTTCTAGCGCCTGGCCAGTAGGGGGCAGAGGAACTTTACAACACGACACACGTGAGCCCCAGCCCCCCCAGCAGAATACTCACTTCAACAACAAGATCCTCCTCAGGCGCCGCAAAGACGTGAAGAAATGCACCAACATCATTCTGCATTTTAACAGCAGCTGTGAAAATGGAAACGCCACCATGGAAATGTTTGCTCTCGGCTACTGCACATGTCCAAATGTACGTGCGGGGAGCAGCAGGAGGTGGGGTCAGAGCAGCAGGAGGTGGGGTCAGAGCAGCAGGAGGTGGGGGTCAGAGCAGCAGGAGGTGGGGGTCAGAGCAGCAGGAGGTGGGGGTCAGAGCAGCAGGAGGTGGGGGTCAGAGCAGCAGCTGTTCACACCTTTTTCTTCAGACGGGTGTGACCCCCGCTGAGCAGCGTATCTGAGCTGTCCCACTCTGAGGCTGGATCTTAACTTTTACGTTTACACCTGGAACACAGTCTCCATGGAAACGGGAGGTAGCAACCGACATCCAACTTCAGCGTTTCTCCTTCCGGACACACCCTCACCGGCCTGGAGGGAGATTGCAGCGTGTCAGCACTCATGCTCATGGACGTTTGGAGCCGGGACCCGCCCACACTTTTTCAAACGCATAAATACATTGATAAAAACACATGGTCCATAAATGTTGATAAAATATATTCAAATGCTGTTGTTTTTATTCCGCAGGAGAAGATGAGAATTCCAATCAGGATTCCAACCTCCCAGACTTCCCCTTCCACCTCCCGTCCCCCTTCTCTCCCACTCTGGAGGACATCGAGGAGTTCCTGAAGGAGAAGATGGATGTGGTCCCAGACGGACTCCTCACCCCCAAAGAGGAGGCCTCCCCTCTCCCCTGCACAGCCCCCACAGTCACCCCCAGCCCCCCTCCAGTCACCCCAAAGAAGGAGCACTCCAGCCCCAGGTGCTCACAGCCTGTGGTGACCCCCCGTCCCAGTGTGAGCCCCCGCCTGCTCCTCGGGCCCCCCCTGGTCCTGCAGATACAGCCCGTACCCCTGGCCCCGCCCCTCACCCCCACCGCCTCCTACCCCGGGACCCCCATCTGGCTCACTCACCTGGTCATGGGGCTGCAGGGGGCGACTGGACAGAAGATGACTCTGCTGGCCCCCCAGGTCCCCTCCCCCACCGCCACCGCCACGCTCGTCTCCCTGGGCAACGGAGACGCCACGCTGGTCTCCCTGAGCAACGGAGACGCCAAAACAGCCGACCAGAAGTATGTAAAGATTGCCCCGTTGCCGATCACCATGAGGACTGTGGAGATCACGGGCGTGGGTGGGGTGGGGGGGCAGGCGAGCAGTATGCAGAAGGCCGTGCCCCCCCGCCTGTCCCGGGCCCCCACCACGGAGAGGGTCCATAAGTGCTCCCATCCCGGCTGCGGCAAGATGTACACCAAGAGCAGCCACCTGAAGGCCCACTTCCGCCGCCACACAGGGGAGAAGCCGTACACGTGCAGCTGGCCCGACTGTGGCTGGAGGTGAGAGCCGCTACTGTCACACTGTAAACATGAGGTATTACCAGTGGGGGCGGGTCCCGGCTCAAAAGTGTCCAAAATGACGTGCGCTGACATGCTGCAGTACCACCCCGGGCCTGTGGGGGTGGACCTGGAATAAGAATTAGCCAATGCTCTGGAAAACGTCTTTACAGGATGGTCCAAAAGTTGTCTCTTGGCCCAAAGCTCCGTTCCACATGTGTGTCAATGCTGAGTGTTCTGGACCAGTCTAGTTTAGTCGCTGTGGACTTTAGAATTCTCTCGTTTAAATGAATGGAGCTCGTGCAGCTGACACATGCACAGATGCGTTTTTTCACATTTTCCAGCCCCCGCGGCCATTTTGAAACACTCCATGAGAGCCCAATGTTTGGCCCATTAGTTAGAACGGCGGAGATAGACGTGACTACGTCTGTTTATATATACAGTCTATGGTTAATATATACAGTCTATGGTTAATATATACAGTCTATGGTTAATATATACAGTCTATGGTTAATATATACAGTCTATGGTTAATATATACAGTCTATGGTTAATATATACAGTCTATGGTTGATATATACAGTCTATGGTTAATATATACAGTCTATGGTTAATATATACAGTCTATGGTTAATATATACAGTCTATGGTTAATATATACAGTCTATGGTTATTATATACAGTCTATGGTTAATATATACAGTCTATGGTTAATATATACAGTCTATGGTTAATACAGTCTATGGTTATTATATACAGTCTATGGTTACTATATACAGTCTATTGTTGATATATACAGTCTATGGTTACTATATACAGTCTATGGTTATTATATACAGTCTATGGTTAATACAGTCTATGGTTATTATATACAGTCTATGGTTATTATATACAGTCTATGGTTAATACAGTCTATGGTTATTATATACAGTCTATGGTTATTATATACAGTCTATAGTTATTATATACAGTCTATGGTTATTATATACAGTCTATGGTTAATACAGTCTATGGTTATTATATACAGTCTATGGTTAATATATACAGTCTATGGTTATTATATACAGTCTATGGTTACTATATACAGTCTATGGTTGATATATACAGTCTATGGTTATTATATACAGTCTATGGTTGATATATACAGTCTATGGTTGATATATACAGTCTATGGTTGATATATACAGTCTATGGTTATTATATACAGTCTATGGTTACTATATACAGTCTATGGTTGATATATACAGTCTATGGTTACTATATACAGTCTATGGTTGATATATACAGTCTATGGTTATTACATGTTAAAATCAAGTGCTTTTTATCTTAATCTGACACATGTGAATTCCTTTAATGTGAGATTAATAAAACGGGTGGCACGGAGTGGTTAGCACTCTCTCTTCTTAGCAAGAAGGTCCTGGGTTCGAATCCCGATTGGAGCAGGGCCTTTCTGAGTGGAGTTTGAATGTTCTCCCCGTGTCTGCGTAGGTTTCCTCCGGGTGCTCCGGTTTCCCCTACCACTAAAAATATGCACAATAGGTCTGAATGTAAATGAGAGAGTGATGGTGTTGGAGCTGATGGTCCAGTGTGTTCTGGACTCGCTTCTGTCATCACCGTGTTACTTACAATGTTTTCCTTAAATCCCATGTTCTCCTGCGACGTCACATGACCTTTGTTTTGACCAAATGTTAAGAAAATCCAATATTCACTAAACTTTTGGGATCAAACAAGTTATTTATTATCGAGACAAAAATATAGTTAAAGTGTCTTGCTCCACTTCTCTGCCCTGTCAGAGTGGTTAGCACTCCTGGGTCCTGGGTTCCAATCCCAGTCAAACAGGCTCTTCCGAGTGGAGTTTGCACGTTCTCCCCGTGTCTGCGTAGGTTACATTAGAACTACAGCGAGTATTTAATAAACGGCACAAGTTAAAGCGTATTTGGAAGATTTTCACATTCCAGCAACTCCCAAAAATCTCCATGAAACCTTTTTAGTTCAGAAGTGATTTAATAATATTCAGACCTCTACAGCAGAAATCTTCATTCTTTTACCATTGGAGAGAAACTTTTATAAAAACAGAAATGACAAAGAACGAACCACTCTTTTTTTATCAGTCGTAAAACAATAGTCTGTTTATTGCCTACAGCAAAGGACACACCAACATACTGCAGTCTCTTTTCATGAAAAGATCTATATTTAAAGGAGCTGTACCCGTTTCTGCAGGTTTGAATGTTTAAGGTTTAGCCCCGCCCCCAACTCGCTCACAGGCTTCACATTTCCCCCACGCTGTCCTCCCACGGAGCCATCTAGATTTATTTGGGATCTGATACATATGCTAACATTAGCATTAGCGCAACTTAAGCTGTACAACAATCACTGATGAAATGGTACAAAAGCAACGCACTGCTAACAAAATATATAACTGAAAGATTACCGCTAGTTTCACGTCCGAATTTCCGAGCATAGATAGTCGGAGTATAGATAGTCCGAGCATAGATAGTCCGAGCGTAGATAGTCCGAGCGCAGATAGTCCGAGCGTAGATAGTCCGAGCGTAGATAGTCCGAGCATAGATAGTCCGAGCGTAGATAGTCCGAGCGTAGATAGTCCGAGCGTAGATAGTCCGAGCTCAGATAGTCCGAGCGTAGATAGTCCGAGCGTAGATAGTCCGAGCATAGATAGTCCGAGCGCAGATAGTCCGAGCGTAGATAGTCCGAGCGTAGATAGTCCGAGCATAGATAGTCCGAGCGTAGATAGTCCGAGCGTAGATAGTCCGAGCGTAGATAGTCCGAGCATAGATAGTCCGAGCGTAGATAGTCCGAGCGTAGATAGTTCGAGCGTAGATAGTTCGAGCGTAGATAGTCCGAGCGTAGATAGTCTGAGCGTAGATAGTCCGAGCGTAGATAGTCCAAGCGTAGATAGTCTGAGCGTAGATAGTCCGAGCGTAGATAGTCCAAGCGTAGATAGTCTGAGCGTAGATAGTCCAAGCGTAGATAGTCCGAGCGTAGATAGTCCGAGCGTAGATAGTCCGAGCGTAGATAGTTCGAGCGTAGATAGTTTGAGCGTAGACAGTCCGAGCGTAGATAGTTCGAGCGTAGATAGTTCGAGCGTAGACAGTCCGAGCGTAGATAGTCCGAGCAGAGATAGTCCGAGCGTAGATAGTCCGAGCGTAGATAGTCCGAGCGTAGATAGTCCGAGCGTAGATAGTCCGAGGCGGTCCCGCAGGTCTCTCCCTCAGACCAGTCTCTCCAGAGGATACGATGTAAGCTAGCTCTGTTCAGGGCTTGGTTTCTTCTTTGATCATGTTGTGGCTTTAGTTCCTCTTCTCTTCCTCACTGTTGTGTGGTTTGTGCTGTTTTGCTGTGTCTGCAGTTACAGCCAGAGGAGTTATAGCCACTTATGCTAACATGCTACTGTGTTTAGCAGCGCTGTAGAGGCTAGAGGACGCAGCCTCGCTCTGTGATTGGAGGAGAGCGGGCGTCTATTATTTAAGATAACAGACAATAGTTTTTAAATAACAATATAATAAGTAATAGGATGATGAAACAGATTAGAATAAAATAAACCCATGGAGCTATAAGTGTAGAGTTCAGATGAAAAAACAGATGTCTCAGTTTTTGCACATTTTGAAATGTCCAAATATTGTCTTCCTCTACAATCTTCAACATGTTAATGCACTTTATTTGTGTGGCACTAAAATAGATCTGTCTTTTCACAAACTACTCGGTAAAGAGAATACTATAAGCTTCTCTGATCTGTCTCCACGGCACTCATCTGGTTTTGTCTGTGGTTTTTGCAAATAAACCAGGGGTTTAAACATACAAAAGGAAAGGGCGGGTCAGGGCCCAAACAATAAGAGAGGTTTCATTTATCATTATATTATGAAGGTATTGGATGTTCTTTTCTGATTAGAACAGTTCCTGTGGACTGAACCAAAACTGGACCAAAACATATTCAATATTAAAAGTCTACAAGAGGATTTTCTACTCCCGGGTGGATCATCAAGACTATTGGTCCTCCCAACTGTCAATCATTCCGCTGAAACGTCCAATAAGACCAGAGAGTTTTGTTCAAAAAGTGGAGAGGGCGCGTCTTTCCTAAAAAAATGGGAAATCCTCCTAGAAAAGTAAAAAAAAAAATGTAAACGTGTGTCACAGACGTGTTGTTGACGTGTTCATTAACGTGTCGTTCCGTGTGGTGGCAGGTTTTCCCGTTCGGACGAGCTGTCGCGTCACCGCCGCTCGCACTCGGGCATCAAACCGTACGAGTGCTCTCTGTGTGAGAAGAAGTTTGCTCGCAGCGACCATCTCTCCAAACACACCAAGGTCCACCGCAGCTCCAGACCCAGCCGCAGCTTCAGAAACACCATGTGACACACCATGTGACACACCATGTGACCCAGAGCCGGGGCCGTCGTCCGTCCTTCATCTAGAACTTTAAGTGAAGCGACGGCCGCCTTTGTTGATTTTATCTTTCTTCTTTTTTACTTTTTACTTTAAACGTCATGCGTGACCCCAGGAGACGAACTTTATCCACACGGATCTAAAAACTTGAACTTATCCGGAGTTATTCTGCAGAGACCGATCTCACAGAACCTCTACTGGAAGGAACTGGTGCTGTCATTCTTGAGTCTGTGTCATAGGGATGCACCAGGTCTTAGATCATTTACGGATCAGAAAGTGACTGGAAACTTAGTGAAAAAGCCATAACACTGTTGCTGCTGATGCCCTTTGCAATGCTAACGCTAATGCTAATGCTATTATCATTATAGCTAACTAAGATTGTTGCTTTAATTGATGGAGATTAAAGTAAGAGATTTCTGACATTTTAGCGTTACAGGTCTCAAGTTTACCTCAGACACGACCATTGGAACCAGATGTCGCAGACTGCAGTTTAATCTCTGTGTGTTTAATAACTTTACATTTTAAGTGTAATAATTGGAATGTATTTTAAATTATACCATGAAAGAATGCGAGCTGCTGACTCAAACGGCACTTTTAGATATTATAATAGCTGCTTTGTTGTGGTGGACTAAGAAGTGGTGCATCCCTATTTCCTGCAGGACGCCTTCAGGGTCCACAAACTAACCTTCCAGAGTTTTGTTTTTTATTCCAATGAATTATGTTGTTGTTAAATGTATGTTGTGTGTTTATGATGATGAGGCTTCAGAGACGGCTCGTCACGTGGCCAGAGCTCTGACTTCTGACCAGTTTTGTAAAAATCCTGATTGAAAGCACTTAGTCCCAACAAGCACTTGGATATTTATCTTAGTAGATCTTTAAAATGAAGTGTTGGCCTCTGTTGCCTTCAGCCCCGCCCTGTTTGCCTTCACAGTCCTGATCTCAAGCAGATGCCTTTGTCCCTAAAAAAAAAACCTTGTTCTGTTTCCGTCACATGATGTTTTTATCTGTGATTCTGGAGTCGGAGGAGATCCCCTTCTGACGATCCACGGACATCACGCCCTCGCGACATGACAGCGGTATAAGCTCATTGTTCTCTGAAAGTTTCTCAGTGTGCTGCCGATTCTGTGGCCTCGTTCTTCTCGACCTACATGTTCAACTTATGCTCAACGGTGCAAATGATTTGAAAACTGCCCTTATGTTTCCAGGACACGTTACAGGAGCTGCTGCTGTAACATTCTGCTGGGTTTAGAAGCAAGAGAAGCTAACAGGCAGCTAGCAACTCAATCATGTGTAACTCCATGTAAACACGGACAGAAGTAGCATGTACACAGCTTGTAGCCTTTATACAGATGTTTTTATCTAATTTCAATCAGTGCATTAAGCTAAAGTGGTGTTTCCCAGAGGCCCACGGTCACTGCAGGAGTTTGATTGTCGTGTGATCGATCTGTGGAATGTCAGACTTGGCTCTGGGGTTTAGTTCCTATTCCCATTCGTGATGCATTAAGCTCGGTCTGCTGGTCTCAAGTGCACTTGTGTCGGTGAGAATCATCCACGTTCTTAAGATTTGCAATAGTGTCTGAAACACAAACGCCAAAAAGAATAGACCTGCAGCACTCACAGCTCTGAGGGTTTAAAGACTGCTTGTTCTTCAGTGTCTTTAGAACCAGCGACTCCCTGACACTCATGTGAGCTGTATGTTCCTGGGCGGTGTCGGTGCTTTGACAGGACCCCCCTGCATGTAGCAAACATACAGTGATGCGTGTGTCCATGACATGTAACATGTTACTGCATCTGTCCAGTGCAGACACAGACGTGTTTATCTGTCTGAGCCTCGCAGCTTCCTCTGACCTACATCCACAGCCTTCACTAATCGCCCTCATGGCCCACAGCCTCTGCTTCTTTCTATTGGGATACAACAAAAGCTATTTTACTATTTGTAGAAATGAATAAAAAATACTAAACATTGTGTATTTTGTTTGTGTCGATGTGTTGTTAAATAAATACATGTTTAAAATAGAAATGAGGAAGCTTTAAAAAGACGACACAGGTTTGTATCATGTTTGGAGCTTGGTCTCAGCTCAGAGTCAGTCTCACTAAAGTCTCACTAACGACTCACTAACGACTCACTGACGTCTCACTAACGACTCACTAACGTCTCACTAACGACTCACTGACGTCTCACTAACGACTCACTGACGTCTCACTAACGACTCACTGACGTCTCACTAACGACTCACTGACGTCTCACTAACGACTCACTGACGTCTCTAACGTCTCATTAACGTCTCACTAACTAATGTCTCACTAACTGATGTCTCACTAACGTCTCACTAACTGATGTCTTACTAATGTCTCATTAACGTCTCACTAACGCCTCACTAACGTCTCACTAACTGATGTCTTACTAATGTCTCATTAATGTCTCACTAACGTCTCACTAACTAACGTCTCACTAACATCTCACTAACGCCTCACTAACGTCTCACTAACTGATGTCTCACTAACGTCTCACTAACTAACGTCTCACAAACGTCTCACTAACGCCTCACTAACGCCTCACTAACGTCTCGCTAACGTCTCACTTATAAATGTCTCATTAACGTCTCACTAACGTCTTACTAATGTCTCACTAACGTCTCACTGACGTCTCACTGACGTCTCACTAACTAACGTCTCATTTACTAATGTCTCATTAACGTCTCATTAACGTCTCACTAACGTCTCACTAAAGCCTCACTAACGTCTCATTTACTAATGTCTCATTAACGTCTCACTAACGTCTCACTAACGTCTCACTAACGCCTCACTAACGTCTCACTAATGTCTCATTAACGTCTCACTAACGTCTCACTAACGCCTCACTAACTAACGTATCACTAACGTCTCACTAATGTCTCACTAACGCCTCACTAACTAACGTATCACTAACTAACGTCTCACTAACTAACGTCTCACTAACGCCTCACTAATGTCTCACTAACGTCTCACTAATGTCTCATTAATGTAGGGTAGCTACTTATATTGCTGATTATGTTATAAATTTAGTACTGTGGAGCGGCTAGTCTCCGGATCAGAAACTCGCCGTTCCACCAATGGGTCTGTCTTATTTATTTTGGGCACCAGTAGACGTTTGAGGGTCTACGACAGACCCAAACCAACTTTTGCCTCAAGTCAGTCTTATAATCAAAAGGTAGTTAATTCGTAAATCGGCCAGGGATATACCGAGATCTAACAACACGACTCTGATAGGATTGAGTTAAAGAAAAGGGGTTTATTGATTACAAAAATGAAGGTAAAAATATAACGAAGGGGATTTCTGGTCACATTAAAGCAGAAGTGGTATACATTTCATTCAAATCACACATTTAACAAGAACAGTCTTACTTTGTAGGAGCGTAGAGGATGGAGAAAGGATTTGGGTTGGGGAATCAGCCCACGTGGTTTCTTTGTCTGGGCAGGCGGGAGGTACGAAGCCAGTGAGTCTGGTCCAGCTGCTGATCCACGCGTATGCAGCCCAGTCCGGAATGGGTTGCGCGCGTAGAGTCCAGAGCCAAGGAAAAGAGGCTGGTGATGGAACAGTTCATAAGGTCCCGAGCAGAGGAGAGTGTGTTTTGCGGAGTAGGAGGCCCGATGCGTGCTGGCGCGGCCGTATTGGAGACACGTACCGCGGGACGCAGATGGCCAGGGAGAGCTGGAATAGTGATTTCAGGATAGGACAAGAGGCAGTCTCTAGGTTTGCGGGCTGGTTTTGTTGTGGTCAAAGTGGGCGCGCCCGTGACGTCATATTTGCGCGTCTTCCTTGGGCCGCCTCCCCACAACAAATGGGTTATAGTGGGAACACACAGGATTAATACAGATGATCATAACACATGTACAAACACACACCACATTTCATTATTTGCCACTGATACACACATGTAGGACGCGGTACAGACTTATCGGAATAGCACTGAGTCCAGGCTGGTCTACAGAATGTCCGGGCCGGGTGTGATGGTGTTCAGTGTCCGCTGGGGGGCGCCAGAGCGCCGTGGGAGAGTCTCAGGTTGTGGAATGTCCCACGAGCGACTGCTGATGGATGATTCCTGATCTCTGTCCGGCAGGAGGGCACACAGATGTCCGCTCTGTTGTTTTTATTGCCCCTCTGGGTCTCGTTGCGGCGTTCCTGGTGAATGTTAGCCTTTAAGTGAACCCGCAGTTACTTTGAAGTCTCAGGAGCTAGGGAGGGCATGTTTACGGAAAGGGTCTGCTATTCACGCCCGATTGGCGCTCACCTTTTCCTCACCCTACATTAACGTCTCACTAACGTCTCACTAACGTCTCACTAACGCCTCACTAACTAACGTATCACTAACTAACGTCTCACTAATGTCTCACTAACGCCTCACTAACTAACGTATCACTAACTAACGTCTCACTAACGTCTCACTAACGTCTCACTGACGCCTCACTAACGTCTCACTAACGTCTCACTGACGTCTCACTAACGTCTCACTAACTAACGTCTCACTAACGCCTCACTAATGTCTCACTAACGTCTCACTGACGCCTCACTAACGTCTCACTAACGTCTCACTAACGTCTCACTAACTAACGTCTCACTAACGCCTCACTAATGTCTCACTAACGTCTCACTAACGTCTCACTGACGCCTCACTAACGTCTCACTAACGCCTCACTAACGCCTCACTAACGCCTCACTAACGCCTCACTAACGTCTCACTAACGCCTCACTAACGTCTCACTGACGCCTCACTAACGTCTCACTAACGTCTCACTAACGCCTCACTAACGCCTCACTAACGCCTCACTAACGCCTCACTAACGCCTCACTAACGTCTCACTAACGCCTCACTAACGCCTCACTAACGCCTCACTAACGTCTCACTAACGCCTCACTAACGTCTCACTAACGTCTCACTAACGCCTCACTAACTAACGTATCACTAACTAACGTCTCACTAACTAACGTC